TGATGGGTAATCATCGCTTTTGAATGCATGATGGGTAATCATCGCTTTTGAATGCATGATGGGTAATCATCGCTTTTGAATGCATGATGGGTAATCATCGCTTTTGAATGCATGATGGGTAATCATCGCTTTTGAATGCATGATGGGTAATCATCGCTTTTGAATGCATGATGGGTAATCATCGCTTTTGAATGCATGATGGGTAATCATCGCTTTTGAATGCATGATGGGTAATCATCGCTTTTGAATGCCTCATAAAACTCACACTATTTTTTACCCCCTGTTTTCTTTGTAGAAATGGTATAATTATTTCGGTTTTTGCAAAAATGCGAATACGGCTTAGGAAGACTGTTTTAGCGATCATGATAAAATGCGAGTACTACAATTCTCATCATGTTTTGCTACACAAAATGGCGTCCCTTAAAACTTCTTATCTTTCTTTGTTTGACAGGATTTCAAACCGTACATGTTGGTTCAGTTGGTACACCAGTAGGGTCAGTGACTCTCTCAGCAGCCTACAGAACAAATCTCTCATTGGCTCAAAGGTAATTAGAAAATCTGATGGAAACTCATGAAAGTGCCCGTAATACTCTAAATCTCGTACCGTGTTCAAATCTAAGAACAGAGACTCAAACGGCCGCTTTATTTTGAGTTGTTTCTTAAATGATAATTTTTTCTTCATTTTTTCGAGCGTGAAATTATTCTTATATAAGCACGATCATCAGCCAATCAGAACGCGCGTTATGTCTCAGTTTTTATATAAACATGTACATCAGCCAATGAGGGTGCGTGTTATATCTCAATTTAAAAGTAATACGTAATACGTAATACAACAATACGAAAGTTTGTAATTGAAAATATAGGGAAAAAAAGAAGGTCCACTGTCAAATACGGGCTGACTATAATAAGTGCTTTATTTAGATTTGAATGTAGCCTGCATTGCTGAAAGTCTGCAGTTTTAAGCTGTTGTTTGAGATCGATCCCACATTTCACTTTCTGAGAAAAAAAGGAAGGTTTGAATTTGCATACGTGTGACTTATGTTTTGATGTGTTGGGCTAAACCTTGTTTCGCTACCTTGGAGTCTCAGCTTCGAACTGTCAGAGCTCAAACAKATGCCCATCGATGCCACAGTGATGTAATTTTAGAAAAAATACAAGAGTGGGAGTTTCCCACGTCTAAATAAAGAGATATAAACCAAAATGAAGCGAATTAAAATAGTAGCAGTCATAGACAACAACAGACGAGAGTTAGTTGCTTCGAAAAATCTACTAGGTAACAAGWAATAATAACTTTTTAAGACCTTTTTGAAAAGAATAGAGCGAATTTCAGGACTTTTTATCATATTTATTTTGATATTAATCTTATTCTCATTCTATTATAAATAATTTTAGATATTAAGACGACAGAGTTTAGTTTATAAAACGAGATGTTTCGGCATGTCTCTTTATAAACTCATATCTATCTTCTTGCATTTAAAATTTTAACGTCATTTGTGCTCTTACAATCAYTTGGTAATGTTATTCTAATATATCAGATTTGACTATTTTCTGTATTTTTTTTTCGATTAGTTTATTATAAATAGTGTGAAGAGATTTCGTTTTTAAATGGAAATTGAAAGGTCATTGTATTTGGTATCGATATTCGTTTGTAAAGTACATTGTGTTAAACAAAACCTCGAACTTAATTCTTGTCATTGCATATCTAATTTTCTTGGCGGGATTCAAAGCTCGAATAGCGCTAATCCTGGGTTAATTTTATTATTTCATTCTCATTAATTCATTTTATTCTCATTTTTTCCACAGGCAATCCGACATGCCCGTGAAGACTGACCATTATAGCTCTCAAGAGCAGCAGTTCTACGAGCGCGAAGCATCACGGGACATACCGATTCCGTGTGCACCAGGAACGCAGGCTCAGCTACACGTAGGCGAAGGCGTTAGGTATATCTAGGGTAATGACCCTCTTTCATTTTGACGTCATGCTATTTCAGCATGAGGTGCACTATGGGATTGTTGTAAGTCAGGATGTTAACCACAAGACAAACTTCTGTGTATTTCAAAAGCGTCCTCTAGACTCGTACCCTGTCTCTTCTCTCGCTCTTATGGCCGGCGCAATGCATCAAGGGAAGGGTACTTATCCCACTCCTTCCCATAAACCCTCCTGAGAGTAGCAAAGAAGAGTAGGCACTGGTTACGAGTCTAATCGTCCTCTACAACGCAAAACGTCAAATTCTTACCAAAACTTTATCCTCCGTAACTTTTATATGATTATATCAGTACCCATGATGCACTTCGCCAAAATGAGTATGACGTCATAAAGAGAGAGGTCCATTACGTTTTTTTTTCTGGACCGCTTGTGATAGTATTTTAATGTAATCTTTGTGTTTAGACACGTTGCAGAAGAGATCGCTAACGCTTCGGAAACGGAAGTGACGTCATGTGGACGCATCCAATCAAATACTAATAATAGAAATCGTCGTTCGCCGACTCCATGGAGACAATCACCCAATCAAAAGTACGTACCTTTATAAACAAGCTGCAAACTCGATCATTTCTGACCTCCTTATATCGGCTTCCTCCTTATTCTGACCACCCCCTATATTATTCTGAAACCTCCTTACAGTGACTATGACCTGGTTATAAACACCCCTTTACGTTAGTTGCCTCCTTGTACTAACTACAATTGCAGCTTCTTGTCCARGAACACTAAAGCCGCGGCTGTACGAGCGATTTTCCCTTGCTCAGGCGACTCGATTTTTGGTTACGATGAAAGTTGGACATCGAATTTGAGCTGTTTTTGTACATATATGGAGATTCAAATAAGTATTTGTGAAGATTTTTTATCGATGCAGCATTGTCACTCGTGTAGCCACATCGTGCGCTGGTGATTTTGAGAAAATCGCTTCTCCTGCGCAAGCGAAAAATTACTTTTCTAGCCGCGGCTTAAAACCTTGAGTAGTTTGAGAATTTTATCAAATGAAGACTTCGCTGTGCTGCTCTTACGTTCGTGTTTAGTACTTCGCTAGCTTTTTGTGTTTGCGCTCTAATCATTTTTTTGACTTTTCCACAGGAACGTTACAAAACCGTTCACTATGGCCAGCGGTCATCACAGTAAAGGAGCTTTCGCTAGTTCTCCTGTTTCTGCGGAAATTGTAAGTCCAAACAATCCTTTTGAGCTAACTGTTSCAAACGTTTCGCTGTAGCAACCCTCCCTATACCTTCAGAATGGTAATTAAGTGTCCCAGTGTCTGATGTTAAGGGAGTTATTTTCAGTAATTTGTTTGTAAACGGGGATCTTATAAGTGCCTGTAATATCGAGGTGTTCGCAAGCCGAGTGGTCGCTATAGCGAGTGTCCGATGTATCCAGTAAATTCTTGGTAGTCGGGATTCTTATAAATAACTGTAATATCGAGTTGTTCGCAAGGCGAGAGGTCGCTATAGCGAGTGTCCGCTATAAAACGATTTATTTTTTTATTATTTTCTTGGAGAGAGGATTAATGAAAGTGCCCGTGATACACGAGTGTCCGTAATAACGAGGTGTCCATCATACCGGGGTTTCCGTTATACCGGGTTGGCATAATATCGGGATATCGTCCGCAAGGTGTGAAACGATTATAATACAAAACTTACCTTTCCACAGCCTTCTTTACCAGCTCTTTCGTCAACGCCGCCCTTCGCGTCTTTATTAAACAATAGAAACAGCCTTGGTTCAAGACCAGCAACACCG